GGATTTGCCCATACCATTTGTAGAGATTGGACACCTGAGACTATGATTAGGGATGTATTATGGCAGGAAAACCTTGACACTTGCTCCACCATAACAGAAAGAAATTTTGTCTGGTTAGACAAAACTTTTTTTCTGTTAACCCTAATGTTGAGAGCAGTTTTTTGTATGTTTTGGAGTGAAAACCTTTACTGATGAATACTTCTCAAAAATACTCCTTTTTTTCCACCAGAAATTGTAGTATTAGTTAAATATAGATTTTTACAAGATAAATTAATTCCTGAAGTGATTTGTTATGCATCTTACTTTGGAGCTTATATAAATATGTACTGAATGGGAATATGGATGAGACTATGAAAGGCAAAATGGGGAAATCAAGGATGTTCATATGTAAAATAAAAGCAAATTATGCAAGACCTTGAGTAGATGCTTATAAATGGTTTTTAGCTATTTTTAAGTGCTTTTCCCAAAACGAATTCATTTTGGGTATATTAGATATAATTAAAAGTAAATTGCCTCTAAGAGAACAGGAGGAGAGTTATTTACTCTGGAATATTCAAATACTTCTGCAAAACTCTTGGATGTTATTGTACCAGACTTCCAGTGATATTCTTAATGCTTATGAAATATGCAATACACAAAAAAAAATATCCTTTCTATACAAAATGGTCAGTGGAGACTGCTAGGAGTGACATGTCACTCTGTGGTGTCAGCTTTGACTGTTTTTCAGATTGCTCTCTGGGAGATGCTGACTGCTCTGTGTGATGCACTTTGTAGTTTTGAAAAGCTGTCTGTCAAAGGGGTGCTGTACAGAAAGTGGTGAGTTTATTCCCTCGATGCATGAGCTGGTTATTTCTTCCTTGTTCCTAGTCCTGGCCTGGGACTTAGAAGCTAAAAAGGGAAACATTCTGTGGCATACAGAAGGAGTGGGATGCGTGGAGGGAAGTGAGGGATTTCAGGACATGCTGGGATCCTAGATTCCATCTCTTTAGTCCAAAGTCCACTGATACACAGTGGGAGTGATCACAGTGTCTGTGATCAGACAGGACTTGTGGACAGAGGCTGAATGTGAGACAAATGTTTCCTGAACACAGTTTTGCAGAGGTAGGTGATGTTGGGGTTGTTTTATTTTAACATTTCAGGTTCCTCAGGGCAGCACTGGAGTGAGGTGCTCCATTTAACAGCAGATGAAGCAGCAATAACACAGGCTCCTCTCCGTTCCCTCCCTGGTGTGCCTGACTCTCACTGGGAGGAGCAGCAGTTCAGTGACCGTGCTAACTCAAACATGGGCCTCACGCTGACGTGTGAAATAATCCTGGTCCTAGTGGGAAAACCTGTTTAGCCAGGAGGATATGAAAACATTAGGTAATTTGCCAAGGTTCTGATAGCTTTGTTTTGTTCTGGGTTTTGGTGCTGTGTTTTGTTCTCAGAGTTTTCACAGAGCTTTTATACTTTTCACAGAAGTACCAGAAAGAAATTTTTTAAGAGGAAGAAGTTTTCAATTTTTTGAAAATTTACCTAAACTGTATAAATCCATTTCATGTTGGCATGATAAAAGTTCACTGTTATCACACAAGAACAAATATTGCGGAGATTTTGCATGGTCTAGAAAAACAAAACAGACTGCAGTGTCATAAAAAAAGATTACTTAAGTGCAAAGGTGTGGCAATTTGGACACTTAAATATCTGAACCGCTGGGGTTGGGAAAGTCTGTCAAGTGGCAAAATACTGGGAGGAGAGGGGTAGTTTTTTTCTGTCATACAATAAGGCAGCTGGATTTTCCCTCAGCAGTTTATCTCAGCTTTATGTCACTTGCCTAGAAGGCTGAGGCCATATCCAAGACATTTGGGAATTGCAACATAAAACTTGTTAGCTCTTTATTTATATATTTTGTATGTGTGTATAGCATGTATTATATAAAATCAGTAACTAGACCGGATTTTTCCCAAGGTAAATGACAAGTGCATTCCTGAAGAAAGAGGAAAAAAAAGAGACAGCAGCTTCAGTGCTGAGCTGCCCAGGCAAAGTGGAAAATTATCAGGTAAAACAAGGCACCTAGCCCAGTTACACCCCTTTTTTTACTGGAAGAAATGCATGGCCGTGTGTTGACTGTGTGACCTGCCACGGAGTTATCATTTGGCCTGGAAAGAAGGAAACCTCTTAAGCTCTTCCCTGGCTTAATTCTGTTCTAAGCCCATGACTCCTGTATCCCAGATACATGTTCCCATCATCAGATTTGCTTAAGCTAGGGAGGTCATCTTTAATACACCACTTGAAAAGCAAAATAGTTTCTTGAATGTTGATTTCAATTGATGCTTAATCCGCAAGGTTTTACATTTCTGGACAGTGATCATCTGGCTTGAGTGTCAAATCTTCTTGGCCCACTTTAATTTTTTGTTTTGTTCCTATAAACTGAAACCACTTCAGACTGCTGGCTATGACAAGCTTGTTCAGTGGTGAAAACCTGAAGTTGGGACCACGTTTCCAGCAAGGGAGGAGACTTGAAAGCAGGTTTTCTCAGGGCTGAGTGCTCCAACCAGAGGTGTTTGTTTCCAACAGGACTGAGCACACGTGCAGCCAGTTGCTTTGTCCCTGGCCTTACACAAAACCCATGAAATGTGGGAGGTATTTCACAAGCAGCACAGGGAACAGAATGAAATGCTGTTGGACATTGGAGCAGCACTGCTCTTTCAAGTGTGACTCTTAGCAGAAATTTAAGAGGTCACAGATTCAGGCAGCACTGTGGTTAATGATTAGACTCAAGTTCCTCTGTAAATCTCGCCTTAAATCAAAACCCAGGAGGAATTTGAAATACCTGATAGAGGGGACCTCAGTTACAGCGGCCTGTTTTGTGCTATTTTGCCCTGATTTGTTTTGTGCTTTTAGATACATCAAATATAATTTCCTGTTTGAGCTATTCTGTTTTTTCCCATGTTAATAGAGAAATTCTTACTTGAAAGCAGTATCTTGGTTGTGTGGGAGAATGACTAAAAACTTTTAGAAAGGAATAAATAACTCTCTTAGGAAGAGTATTTTTGCTTTAGGCTTGAGGAAAGACAGCTGTGTCATTTTGTACATTGTGGACAGGCTCCAAGTGTCTGTACACATGGTCACACAGACAGACATACAAGAATTATTAGCTTGTATGTTCACATTAATAGTAAGACAGGCATAATAATGACCAGGACTGAACTAGCTGTTACAGATTTGGTCATAGATGGAACAGGTCTATCAGATCAAGTTCTTGTATCAGCTACTGTTCCCCCAAAAGGGGAGGTAATCATTATGACACTGATCTGTCTCTTGCGCTCCACCAGCCTTAATGGGAAATCAGTGTGAATAAACTGGCTCAGCTGAACTCTGCTTAATCTGATCTCATGATTTATCCAGGCATCTGGAAAAAAAGGCTAATGTCACTTTGGCCAATGAATGAACATACATCTGGTTTTAAACACTAAGTCAATGAACACGAATTAAACAGAATCTTGTCTGAATTTTGAAAAGGATATTTAACTTTGTCAACTATAACACACTTTAAAACACCCACACTAAACTCATGCTTACTCTGTGTCAGCAAAATCTTAACACCACAAGACAGATGACTCTTTAACTTTCATACAAGGGTAGGTCAGCTGTATGGCTCAGGACACAGGTCAGAAATAAGGTAAAATTACTTATAATTTTTTTCAGTTAACTATGAGCATCATATTGTATAAGGACAGCAGCAGGAAGATTCTATTTTCTCTGTGGTATACACAACTTCAGAAAACATCACTAAGGACCATTTTTTTGCACTCTGTGTTACTTTGTTTGCAAGCTTCATTTGAAGAAAAAGCTGTCCTGGTCCTTAATTATGCTGGGTACCAGAAATCTTGGTCAGAGACTATTCTGAGTCACAGTCTCATCTGTCAGTGCCTTTTCTTCTTTAACACTGGGGCCTCCAGGCTTTCAGAATATGGCATGATCTGAAACATCATTATATCACAAAAATCTCATTCACTCTTTTGAAAAGAGCCACTTGCAATCTAAATATACTTGCCAAAAGAAACTAATTCTCATAATAGCTTTCCTTCAACATGTTATTTTTCTCACAGATGCTCACATGTTTGCCAATGCCTAAATCTGCCTTTTTTTTTTTTCCTATATGTAAAGAATAATCTGTGGAAGAAGAATCCCATATGCATAGAACTAATATTATTAAATGCTCTACAGCTCCCCTGAAACACATATAATCTGAAATTCTGAAAAACAACTTTCAAGTCAAAAGCAAGAACTGTATGTTTGCTTATAGAAACTCGAATAGCATTTCAGCATATTACTCTGTGGAGAAGAATAACAATTAATAATAATAATGACAATAATAAATTTTCCCCCCCCAAAAAAATGAAGCATACTCTTGCACAAAATTGTCATAGCTTTTATTGGTATTCCTCAGGGGGTAAATTTACTCACTGTGTGTGACTTAATTAAGAGTCCACAGAAACCCCTCCAGCACGTCATCGGACATGGATCATAACTGTAAATAGCATTACTGCTATAACAGTTTTTTAGTATTAGTTTAATTGCATATCATGAAGTTTGCTTTGGTTCCTGAATAGGAACCCTCACAGATGCTTCTGTATTTTGGGCTTATCTACCTTAATGTGTTTGAAATTTAACTCCTCTGCTACAGTGATACCCCATACAAGGTCCTTGCGATTTTGGGGCAAGGATACGTGAAAATGAGAGAAACAAAATCCTGATTCATCTAATTGTTTGTTTCTCTATATGAAGCACATTTTTGTGCAGGAAAGGGGTCACAAGGGCAGGACTGAGAGCTTCAGCTCCAGGCCGGACGCCGTAAACTGAAGTTGCAAAGCGGCAAGCGTGAGGAGAAAGCAGAGAGGCCTCCCGTGCGAGGCCAGGCTGCTGAGGCCTGAGCCCCTCAGCGCCGGGCCTGGCTCCGTCCGGCCGCAGAGCCGCGGCAGCGCCCCGGGCCCGCAGCCCGCTGCCGGTGCCCCGGCGGTGACGTCAGGCCGCTCGCCGTGACGCGTGCGCTCAGCGCGGAGCAGAACCGGCCCGCCCGGGGAGGGAACCGCGCTCCGTGAGGGAAGCGAGCCGGCGGCCGCGAGGTACCGGAGCGCACGTGGGACGCGGTCCTCGCGTTCTGCTCCCTGCCCGTGCGCCCCGCAGCCCGCGCGTGGCTCGGGGCGGGGGGGACACGCAGGCTGGGGGGACACGCAGGGACAGCGCGGAGCGGCCGCGGGGACACGCAGGGACGGCACGGGGCGACTCCGCTGCCACCGTGGCACCGGCGGCGCGCGGGCTCGGGCTCGGTCCCGGCGTGCCCCGCGGGCGCCGCTTCCCGCTGTCCGTGCCGAGGGCTCCACCTGCAGCCGGGCCCGGGCGGGAGCGCAGCTCAGCGCCACGGGCGGAGCAGGGAAGGAGGGAGGCGCCGGGCACGGCTGGGGAAACCCCGCTCGCCCTGGTTGAAGGTGCCCTCCTTGGGTTGGCGTCCGGGCGCTGTGGGGGGGTGCCCTCGGAGCCCCGGCGTCCCGCGTTACGTAGTTTGGCTCTGAAAGGAGAGCGAAGGTGGTGGAGGTGCCTGCGTGTGTCCGTTGCTCCAAGTATAGCTAGTTTTCCCTTCCGTTATTTATCCAGGGAGCAGCAGGACATGACTCCTGCTGCAGCTTTTCCCTCCCAGCTCCAGGGCGCCTGTGTGGCGTTTCTGTGTTAAAGCACAAACTGTATGTACTGTGTTGCAGGTAGGCCCCGCCTGTGAATGCCTGGTCGATGCACAAGGGGCATTCTCTGCTCTGAGAAGTTGCCAGGGAAGGCAGACACGTGGGTTGGTTTCAGGCACTTGTGAATACTTAATTAGGGAAAAGGACAGACAGTCTGCTTGTTCAGACTCTTGTGGCAGAAGACCGAACTCATCATGCCGCTGCATGAGTTGGTGGTGGCCTGGCACACTCGGTACCATGTGCTTTTCTGATCATCACTCATCCAGAAGGGTTTAATAGAGCTCAGTGAGGCCAAGGGTAAGGTCTAAGGACTGGCACATTCCTTAGTGATGTATTGAATAGCTTCCATATGTGTAGGAGTAACTGAATAGACCTGAAAGAGGATACAGGTGGAGAGTGAAACAGTGAGGGGAAGGTATGAGGAGAAATGCATAGAATTATCTAATCAGAAAGCAAATTAAGAACAAAAGGAAGTACTTTCCCACAAATAATAAAACTCGTTGCCTCGGGATGAAGACAGTATAATTGGGTTCAAAAAGGATTTATTCAAATGTATGGAAAAAAGATTCATTGTTACTGCTTGATTCTGCCCCTGTCTCCTCAGGAAATCCCAAACCAGCTGATTGGTTTCTAGAGCTTGCAGAATAAAAGATCATTCTACAGAAGTGCTTCCTTTGTGTACTCCATTCTGAACATCAAAGCCAGCTACTTCAGAATAATTTTGTATTTCAAAAAGCTTTTTTTCTTCCTTCAAAAGCAGAAACAAAAAACCCCAGGCTAGTGGTAAAACACAGTCTGACAGTATTAAACCAGTGTAAATACAATAGTTTCAAATCATACTCGGTAACATTTGCACTGGTGGTGTCCAACACAGATACTTTGGATGGAGTGAGACCTTGAGGCCAAATGATTTCAGCACAAGAATAGTGGTTGCAAGAGCAATATAATTACAACCAGTACATCAGCTTTGAATAAGCAGCTGAACAGTACATTGTGGCCTTTAGGTACATAAATCACGTAATTCATCAATTGAATAAGAGTTGCCATAACTCTAGTATTGGAATACGTGATTTTAAAATTTTTTTTAATACTTCATAAATATTTAAGAATTAACTTTCATTTGTAGGGATGGTGTCTAATTTAGTTCAGCTGTTTGTTTTGAATTAAAAAAATGAATACAAATGAACGAATAAAAACCAAATCACTAATTTTGTAACCTGCTCTTACAAACTGCTGCAAACAGGTAAAGGCTGTGATGTTGACAAGAACAGCAGTTAATGTCTTGCTCTGCTGGACACGAAGTTGATGGTTTATTTGCAGTTTCTGGAATATTTGGAAGATGGGCAAGGTGTGTGCTGTCTTTGGAGGATCCCGTGGGATAGGCAGAGCTGTGGCAGAGCTCCTGGCGCACAAGGGCTGCCGCCTGGCCATCCTTGCTAGGAACCTGGACGTGGCCCAGAGCACTGCCCGTCACCTTGGGGGTACGTATGCTGCTGGGCGCCCCTCACTGCTCCCTGCTTGGGTGGCTCGTGGGAAAAACCCCTCTTGTTTAGCTAGATGAAAAGGAAAATAAAGGCTGAGGAACATTAAAAACCAGCTGTATGGCTTTGATTCTGTTTTCACAATAGTCGTTGAGAAAGCAGATTGCCTTTTTTTGTCTGCGTGATGGCAATTTTAAGATGAATGGAATTGTTTGGGGTCACAATGGAGGTAGTGTGAAATGAGTCATCCTCAGCTCCTGAAGAAGCCAGAACTGAGACCAGTCTGCTCACACTGAACTTCTGACTCCAGAGGGCAAAAAATATAAAACAAGGAATTGTCACATAACTAATGAATACTATACTTGAAAATCATCTTTATTTAATTGCCTGGGGATTCAATAGGTTCCTTAAATTATAACTAGTTCAACATCTGTTTTGCAACTGAGCTGATACATTCTGAAGGAGGTTTATGAATTAAATACAGCTTTTATTGTGATATTATATATCTTTCAATGCAGCAGGACATCTGGCACTTAGCTGTGATGTATCCAGTGAACAAGAAGTCCAAAAGGCTTTTGAGGAGATGCAGAGGAATTTGGGTCCTATTAACTACTTGGTTAATGCAGCTGGGATCAACAGGTTGGTTACTCCTGACAAGACAATAGGTAATTCTAGATGCAGGCAGCCCACTGTAAGGTGCTCTGGCCCTTTGTGCTTAGTAAGTGTGTTGTTAATGAGCACATCTGAAAACAATATTAAGTCCTTGCCAATATTTTGTTTCTGATGGCAGTAAAATGCTAACAGATGATACGGCTTTCACTGTAGTTTCTGCACTCTGAGTTTGACTTCCCCCTCTATTCTTTCTTCTACTTTTTCTCCCAGAATGGTCCAAAACAGTGCTTGCAAAGGAGGCTCTGTGTCTAGAAGCATGGCTAACTTGTTTTTTGCTATATGTAGTTCTTGCAGCACTGTCATTTTGAATGCTCAAATGTATGGAACCACATACACCCCATTAATGTTCTGTCCAACAGTCTTTTTTTATGAGTAAACATGATCAAGGTTGTTCACTGAATTCTTTGGGTTTTTTTGGTTTGTTTGTCAGGGATGGTTTGCTACTGAGAACCAAGACTGAAGATATGATAGCCCAGATTCACACAAACCTTTTGGGGACAATGTTGACATGCAAGGCTGCGCTAAAGGTCATGATTCAGCAGCAGGGAGGTGCTATTGTCAATGTAGGTAAGGTGTTTGTGTCAGCCAGTGGAGTTCTGTGTGCTAGTCTTCTAGAAATGTTTAGCAGGTGTAACATTACATTGCTTCTTACAATTTACTTGTTTTCCTTTTCCTTTTATTTAGACATTCTATATTTAGCATTTCTTCGAGTGCTTATTCTTTTGTGTAATTTCAGCAACTTCTAAATAGCTTTTTTCAGTAATAACTCAGAGTTTATATTTTATTGAAAAAAAGAAACTTTGCTATTCTTACCAATTCATTCAATACTTATATATACCAGCTGCTGGCAATTAACTAAGAACTGATAGGTTTAGTCAGTTTCTTTCTTTCTTTATTTAATGTGGGCAAGGATACTTTTTTTAGAAAAGTCTTAATTATACTTTCCTGGTGCTTGTTGGTCAACATAGATATATGAATTATACAAAAATCATAACTAATCGGGACATTTGCTTATCCTAGCAGGCTAAAGTGCATAAAGTCATGCATATTTTACTCTTCTTGGGACCTCATTTTTCATTTCAAGTTCAAAACTAAAATGATCAAGTGAGTACAATGTTTCAAGTTACCCATTTAATCTTCTCTTTGATGTTTCTTTATTTTAGGGAGTATTGTAGGACTTAAAGGCAACTCTGGTCAGAGTGTGTATAGTGCTACCAAAGCAGGATTAGTTGGATTTTCACGCTCTCTTGCTAAAGAAGTAGCAAAAAAGCAAATTCGAGTCAATGTTGTTGCTCCAGGTTAGTTCTTGAGGAATTCCTGCATCCTTGACTGTTGCAATTCATTAAAACTGTGGATATTTCTTGTACTCTGAACGTAACTTAAGACTAATTTCTATTATTTTCTTCAGCTTTGTAAGTAAATATTTTTAATATATTTTGTTTGTTTGTTTGAAGTATAATACATTCTTTTAGAAAACCTTCAGTCTTTTGAAGGGAACACCAAGAAATTTGGAAGAGTGAATCTACCTATTCCTCTGTCCATTATTACATAATGAATGTAGTTTTTTTTCTTTGATCCTTCTTCAGAACTTGCTGTCCTTGCAGATGGAAGGATTAGATCTAATTAGAGATAGAGAGCTACCCTTGTCTCCAGCTAGAGGATGCTTGTTTGTTATTACAGTAACATGATAAACCATAAGAAAGCTGTCATAAAAGCACCCCTATCTCCCTGTAGTAAAAGGAGGAAATCCTGAAAGTTATTTCTGTGAGCAAAGGCTGTGATTTTGTAAGATGATCTAGTTCAAGCAAACTGCCATCCTTAAGGAAAAGCCCCTTCTGTATTTTCTGAATTTTTCCACCCATAACTGTGCACACTGCTGCTCACCTTCTGCTACCTTTGATGCCTTTCAGAATTCCACGTGAACCTGTTCAGCTTGTGAACTAGGCAGGAAAAATACTTTTATTCTTTAGTGAGTTGAGCAGCTCATCCACAGCCATCATAAAGGGGCAGAGTATTACAGTAGAAAACAAAAGGGAATCTTTCCCTTCTTGATGGCAGCTAGAAAGCAGGTAAGATCAGCTCTTTCTAAAGCTGCAGCTTTTGTGTAGAGTTGTGCAGCAGTGGGAAAGCCAAATCTCAGAAAATGGGAAACTGTAAAAAAGGCCCTTCAAAAATGTCAAGAAATATTCTTCAAATGAGTGCTCTAGTAGAAACTATGCAAGAACTGCCATAAGTTCTAAAATAGAATGCAAACACTTTAAAGTCAGAGAGGGTTTCTTGCCAGACATTTTGTGCTCATATTTTAGTTGAGAGCATTTTGGTGAAATGAGTATATATTTTTCTTTTGGAAAAGTGGTATTAAATATAGTTCTTGGATTAAATTTTAGTTTCTCTTTCTTGTTTGATTTTGTTTGGGTTTTTTAAATGGACTTCTATAGATCTCTGCATTTTGGTTGTTGCATCATTGCTTCCAAAAATGAAAAGTATTTTATTGGTAGATAAGAAAGTGATTTTGGCCATCAAATGATGTGGGCTGCTTTGGGAGACTTTGAAGAACGGTAGCTGGTGCTGAATCCTGGTAATAGATTTCACTTTGTAAGTTTCAGTGGGAAATCCACTAGATAAATTTAGTTGAAGGTTAGGTAACTCTTCCTATATCTCTCTGCTCTTAGGCTTTATTCACACAGAGATGACAGCTCATTTGGAAGAAGATCAGCTGAAGAAAGCAATTCCCCTTGGAAGATTTGGAGAGCCTCATGAAGTTGCACAAGCTGTTGTCTTTCTTCTAGAGTCCCCATATATTACAGGGAGTGTTCTGGTTGTAGATGGAGGCTTGCAGCTTATGACCTAAGTACTGCCTTGAATAAAGGACTGCTTCAATGTCATGATGGTAATATATAAATATATTCTAAATAAAGGGAGAGGGTTGGAAATCGTTTGAAGATTGATGTACATAATTGACTTGGTCTTTTTTAGTCAGAGGAGAAATTCAGCAGCAGTGGGGTGCAATGTGTGTGTTTAACTGCCTGAAGAGTCTGTTTGGTATTACAGAGTCTGTGTATGAAACAGTTTGAAAAAGATCTGGTTTTGATACAGTGATAGCTTTAATAATGTGCTGATATGTTTTTAAAGCACTGTATTTTTATAAAGTCCTGTTTTCTAATTTGGGAAAGAATGAGATTTTATTTTAATTATCATGTTACACAAAGGTTAATAAAGTGCAGAGACATGTTTATTGGCTGGCAGGTATGATTGCATCAAGTTTTTCAAGTAGGGCAAAGATTGTGAACTGCATAGTTTTGCATTCTTATCAGTTAGTCCCTACAAAGTAGCAAGTAGTTTCCTTTGAGCTTTGTTTGTTTGTACCTAACACTACAAAGCTAGGAACTTCTAGATCTTCAGCATACCTGAATTGCCTTTAGAAGCTTTAATTATATGCACTGTGTTTTTATAATGACAAAGCCTACTCGGTTCCATTCCTGAATGTATGTACAGCACTCACTCACTCCAGGGGCTCTGGTGTGTGCCCACTGGAGGATTGCTGCAGCACTGGAGCTGCTAATCCTGTCATACTCTCAGCTTGAGCTGCACATGCACTGCTGAACACTACAGCAGCACACCTTGCTCTGTAAGACACTGCAAGGACTCAGTAGATGTTCAGAACATGTATCACTTCCAGAGCATGAAGTCAAGGTGTTTTGTGTTTTGCTCTGTATCTTCATGAGCACTCAGTTCAGCTCTTAAGTTGATGCTCCCTCATATGTATGTATAGTCAATAAAATGGCCATTTATTTTATTCAAAGCAGCTTTTGAAGCACAGTAATTATTCTGCTGTAAATGATTCTGAGTGTTCCTGTCTTGCTGAAAACTTACCAAATGTTTGACCTCAGGCTTTTCTATTGATCTTGAGTAATTTTTGATAATTGATGTTTTTATTATCTCTGAAAAAAGCTATGAATGTGGTTCAGGACCTTCACTTCTTAGCTCTGGTGTTCATTGCATCATGATCCAGATGTTGATTCAGCTTTTGAAATTGCTTCCCATCTTGGCACACACCACAATACAGAAAGAAGAGATCTCACTGATGATAACTGTGGCTTTAAAGTTGGAGATTTTCTTCCTTTGTGCAGCTGAGAAATTTTGTCTTTGTGCCAGAAAACAATACATGTTCAAGCTTCTTGCAGGTATGTATTGAGAAATAATACAAGGAGTACTTGTATGATCAGGAGATTTTACAGTTGGTTGTGCTACTCACTTTGGAATATAAAATACCATAGAAGTAATCCGTCCAGGACTCCTTATCTTCCTGTTATCGCTGTTATGTGTCATATGTGTCTTTGCACCAAAAATATAATTGCTAATTATGTTTTTCCTTGATAGAAGGAGTTGGCCAGAGATGATGTGAATTTTTCCAAGGGCACTGAAGGTGAGGAAGGACAGCTGGTACATTTTCACTAGTCAAGTAGGAATATGTCAGTGACTTGGCTGCTGCCCATACCTGCCCTTGGTCTTTTACAAACAAACCCTGTGTGACATTTCTTGACTAAAAGCCAAACCTAAGAAACTAGAAATAATTTTCTTTTAGTAAGTTCTGACCCTAATTATTACTATTATCCTTTTTTTGGGGGGTAAGGGAGTTGTTAAATAAGTTATTAGCAATTGAATTTTTAGTTTATATTTGTGATTAAAACCTGAAATAATTCTGTCAGAAGAATCTCAGCATGCCACAGAGTAATTTCTTTAAGAAGTTCCAGTACATACTATGTTTTTATTATTGCTGTTGCCATAGGGCCAGACTGAAGTGTTGGTAGCTTTAAATCACACTTTTAAAAAGCTTCCCCCCCCCATCCCCCCACCCCTTTCTTTGAACTGGTAAATTAGAACAGAAAACTGGTTAACTTGATGCTGGGTCTGTCTGGCCTGGTGTGATGTCCTGGACAGGGGATGTAGGGACTGTGCAGGGTAGGTGACAGATCAGCTGTGTGTCTCCTTAGAAGACTCTGGTACCTCCAGCAGTTTGTGACTGGGATATTTGAAGCCACCAGTGTGCAGCTCTGCTTGAGGCCTGCAGGCATTAGAAACAGCCCTCAGGTGCTCTCTCTGTGTTGCTTTTGAATTTGTAGACTTCTTATCTTATCCTGCCTGCCTTAGTTGTTTCTGTTTTGTACTGAAGAGTCATATTTCTTTTAATTACTTGTTGCTGGAGAGCTCTTTTGTATCTTAAATTGTCTTTGTTGAACTTTGCTTTACTCTTCCAGTTTTTCAAGGAGGGATCACCAGGTAGAACTTCTTGCAGAATTCACTGTGGATCTATTTTAAAAAATGAAATTATTTTATGTTTTATTTTATACTGTTTCCAAAAATGATGCCTAGGTGTTTTGCTTTTTCCTAACCTTTGCACTTATATTTTCAGAACCGTAACTCAGTCCTGAATAATTAACGGTCAACTTGGAGTTAATTTCCATATATATGTGCAAAAGTCTGAATTTTTGTATTTTTTTCAGCATGAATTGTTCTCAAATATCTACAGTGAGTTTGGTTTTCCTGATTTTAACACCTATTTCCTCGGTGAAATCATTCTGCAATTTTCAAATTCCTTTATCTCTTTATTACTTTAACTTAGTGTTACTGGAATACACTGTGGCATTCAGAAACTGCTGTCTCAGAACCCTTAGAAATAGGTTGTACTTTGCCTTCCCCTACAGAGGAACTGTGGTATTTTATTGGCACTGCACATCCTTAGGGGAGAACAACTGCTGATTCACACCCTTTGTCTTCTATCTTTAAACAATGTACTGATATGACAACTTCTTTTGGCAGCACAGCATCTTTAATAGTTTTTGGCAAGGGACTGTGTCAGATGCCTTTTAGAATTTCAAGTATTCACCATTATTAGATCTCCATACTCTCATCTCTTTTAAGTTCTTTTTTAGAAGAACTCTAAAATGTTTATCAAACATGACTTTCATTTGCAAAAGCTACTCTATATGTTTATCCTGTTGTTTTCCTTGACTTTAGAACAATTTCTGGCACTTTGCTATGTACAGAAAAATAGATTTGGGCTTTAATTCCTTGGGTCCCTGTGGAATCTCTTCTCAAAAAACAAGTGGCCCTTCCACCCACTAATATCACAAGAACTTGCTGTCACGTTTGCCAGCTTCCGGTCACTCGAGGCAGGTTTCACTCAGAAGTTTCCCACTGCAGTTACTTGGTTTCTGTTAGAACTGGGGAGTGAAAGCCTCATCTTTCCCCTTTGTCACTTTCCTCTGTAACCTCTCCCAGTGTAAAGGAAGGTGTAAAACCTCCAACAAGGTGCCTCTAGAAGTTCTCCTCGAGTTCCTCCATGGTACCAAAAACTGATCATAGGGATTTGTTCAGAGTCTGGGGATTTTTTTTTCCTCAGTAGGTTTTCCTTCCCTGAGCACTTTGCTTTTTATTTGATCATCTGCTTGCCTTCTTCAGGCATAGTTCCTGTTCCTGAGGTGTCAGTGCGCTTTTGCAGATTATTCCTCTGAACTCTATCTGGCTGTAAATGTTACATTCATTGACTGATTAAATTTGACTCCTAAAGCTAGATTGCTGGTTTTACAAAGGTTGATGTTTACATGCTAGGAGCTTCTCCCTTTCCACAATAATTTGATGTGTGTATTTAAAATCGTTGTACTGAAGTTCAGTACATTCAATCTTGCTGTTGTTATTGGGCTACATCTTAATTTTAACTTGTCTTTTTGGCTTAATTTAAATATTTTATTATATGTTGCTTATTTTTTATGGAAGTCTGTGGTAGTGGACTTCTGTCTTTATTAAAAACTTGGTCAATAGAAATAAAAGTGAAATAAATGCAGAAATAAAAGTCACCATTAAAAAAAAATCACTATTTGAAAGTAGCATTTTGGCTCAGGCTGGGTGACCACAGCCAGAGTTGGGTGGCCCTGATCAGTTGCATGAAAAAGAATATATTAAAACAGTGATCTTGGCCTCTTCAGTGTGACATTTATCCAACATGCTCATGATTGCTGTCTGTCAGCACAGTTACATTGCTGACCTTAGACATCTCAGATGTCATAGCTATGGCCACACATATCCATCTTAAAGGTGGGAGTACCAATATCATCTAATAAAAGAGTTTACCTTGCTAGGTTTGGAAATTCAATCCATGTTTGACTGGATTTAATATGTTGATATTTATTTTTATGACTCTTCTATATGTTTTGTATCAATATCTTTTTTATCTTACATCCATCATATTTCTGCTATGTCTGTTTTGTCACCGTCCTTGATTAAAAGCAGACATCTGGGCTTTACATCTTGTGCTGCTGGCATTTATGCCAAGCTGTATATGAATGTTTGGGGTTTTCTACATATGGGTGTTTGTGAGTCAGACTGCACTTGACTGACTTAAAATGATTACTCAATTGAATTTTTAAAACTTCAGTGCACTATCATATTAGATATAGTTTCTGTGATTCCATTCCTAATGGAAATGAGAGAATGTGCTCTTATCCATCTGATGTTTCTTCACCTGCTATGTTGCTTTAAAATCTCCTACAATCTCTTAAATATAAGTATCTTTTTCCCTCTTTTTATCCTTAAGAATAGAGTATTTTCTGGATTCCCACTACTCCATGTTTCTGCAGTTTCTAAAGAATCTGTAGTCCTGTTCTTAGAACTGTTTTTTCAGGCATACATTGGAACTTTGCCTCATCCACCTAGTTTTGGGAGCATTTAAAGAAGGCTGCAGTGCAAATCTGGTATTTAACTTACTCTGTGTTTTATTCCACATCTTTTCTCCTGCCCCACCCCATCTCTCTGGTTTGTACATGACCTTTCACTACCACCACAGGATTTGTAAAGTGACCATCAAGGCAGGTTTTGAGGGTGGTTGCTTTTGCAGCTGTCATTTAATTCAGCATGCAGTCCTCTTACAATGCAACCCTCTTTCTGACTCACCCATAATGATTGCTTTGAGTTTTTACTCAGCTGGGTTCCTGCTTCAGAGAGGATATCCTTACTAAAAGAAGGTTACACTGTCATTTCTGTGACCTGCCTTGTCACTACCAAGTTAGGAAACCTAAAATTGTTCCTCTGTTGGCTTTGAGTTTGGTTCAGTTCAAAGTTCATAGGTAGTGTGGTTTGCACGTTCTGGGGTTTAGTTGAAGCACATTGTAGACCTAGAAAGTTAACAGTTTTGTATGTCTTCTCTGCATTCTTCTAATCTTTGGGAAGATGATGGACTACTCTTCTTCATCTTTTTTCCTAGGCAGGACAGTGGAGCCTTACTTCTGCTTATCTCTCAAGAAATATGTTTGTAACTTAGAATTTGCTGTAGTGAGCTCACTGGCTAACACAAACAGTCTTTTCTTGCTCTTGAGGCATCTGTTGCAATGGATGGGCTGGATGGGCTCTGAGCAACCTGGTCTAGTGGGAGGTGTCCCTGCCCATGGCAGGGGACTTGGAACTAGATAATCTTTAGGGTTCCTTCCAACCCAAGCCATCTGTGATTATTGTCAGTAAAATTCTGTAGCAGGACACATAAAATGTTCATGAGGTGGTTTTGGTTTGGGATTTTTTTAAAATATTGCAGCTGTAAGGAGGAGCTCTGGTGGTGAACAGCTTTTGCAGACTGTGGTAACAGAAGTATATATTGTTGGCTGAGGTGGTGCATGCTGAGTGAGGTAGGGTTGTATCCCATGAAGAGATTTCACTGTGGCCTCCTGAGGGCAGTCTATCCTAAGGCATTATTGTATTGGTGATGACTTGGTGAGTAAGCCTGTATTGTTTTAGGGAAGTGGAGTTGCCTGTGTAGATGCAAAGCTGATGTTGGCATCCCTGTTACTGGGTTTGTAAAATCCTGTTCCATGTATCCTGAGCTGCTGGGGGTTGTAAAGCATGACTTTTAAAGATGGAAAGGATTTCATACTGAGATCAGTGAAATTTGGATAGGAAGTGGATATCTTAATCCCAGCCTGCAAAATCTCTTTGTTATATCAGTACCTACAGTTAAATATACATTGTAATGATTATTTATTGCTGTTAGACAAATTTTCCTACTTTCATGTGTTGCACAGTGTGAGGTTGTATTACATGACCTGGAATTGTATATTGGCTGTTGCAATTATGCAACTTACTTTTTTGGAAGAACAGTGTAGTTCATTTAAGTAAAGCAAATGAAAAATGAACTCCTCAAGTCCAGGTGCTCCCACTTGATTCAGTTAATCAGTGTTTGAAAAGACAGGTCAAGTGTAGTTGTGGAGAGAAGTCATTGGCTATGCTTAGTGCCTGAAGAAGTAAGAGCTCTGCTAAGTCCCAAGTTATATTTGATTTTCACACACACATTGTGTCCAATTTCAGATCATATGCTAAAGGCTTCATTTTGCTGTAGATATGTCTGTTAGTAAAAAAATGCTACCTGTACCTTGCCAAACACCTTTGGATCAGCACGTCTATAATCACAACTGGTCTGGTATTTTTATGGTTTTATTTTTTATTTTTATTTTTTTTAACAACTCGTATCTGGTAAGGTCTGGGATATGTTTTGTTCATGGTATATAACAAAACTGCCAGTTCAAATGTGTTGGTATCAAATGCAGTGGGACAGCACCCAAGTACAAGCCACCAAAGCTTCCTTGGTACCATTACACACACACTAGGGCAGTGTCAGTGGGAGCGTGGGGGGCAGATGTCACTGAACAAATGGAGTTGTGTGGGTGTTCCTCACCATTTCCCAGGCTGCTGGCTGATGGTACTGAGGTGCCCTTGCATGTGCAGTGTGCTGATGAGTTTGAAATTGCTGCATGATTTTGAACAGTTTGTTTAAGAGTAAGTGCAAAATGATTATATGGTATTGCTGAAGCTTGTTAGTGAAGCAGTTTGATGTTTTGTGAATTCTGACTTGCAGATCTCCCAGCTCAGTATTTTTAATGCTGAATGCACTCAACTGCTTGTTCCAGCTCTGTGCTAGAGGCTGTACTGTCAACACTTGGATGCCAGTGATCTGTTAAAAGCTCTCAGTTGCAGTGTTCCTCTCAGTATGAGCTTTATATGATCTTTTTAATTCTGATCCTCTCAGTATGACCTTTTATCCTAGTTTTTCAGATAGTTGGTAAATTTCTACTACAGACTTCCTACAACTGTAAAGAGGGAATATAGTAATTTCTCATGTTTTGTATAGATGTCATTTAGTGTGCATGTATGAGTTTTGATGGTGAGATGTCCCTGTCAGCAGCAGACTGGAACTGCATCCATTCTTTGCAGGCTCTTGTAGCTGTGTTGTTGGAATGCATATATAGAACAGAGAGCAGCTATAAATTTATAGTTCACCTTAATTTTCAGGACAGCAACATGGGAGAGGTCCTTAATTCACAATAGATTACAGGTGTGGTTCCTGTTGTATAGCAAGTCTTATCTTATTTTCAGCACCTTTTGCAGTAGCTCAGAAAGGTCCTGTTCGGCAGTCTGGGTTTTGTAGCCTCAGTTCTCTACACTCTATGATGTCTGGGCCAAGAGTTGTCCAAAAAAGCTTGATGACAATATGTTTCCCTGGAACTGTGTTGTTAAGCACACAGGAGAAAAGTCCTAACATAATCCATTTGGTGTGATGAGATTTGTGGAGCTCCTGTAAGTGCTGTAATCATTCTGTGCAATGGCCATGTACTGTTACTTTTTTCTGCTTTCTTGTTCTGCAGCTGTTTCTGGACCATGTATGCTATTGCAGAACTAGAAAGTGATAGCAGTTACAAGACTTGGCCAGTCCCCAGGGTTACCTATTACACTGCAGTTGTTTTATAAAGCACAAAATTTCTCCTTCTAGGTGGTGTTGGAGTTCATCTCCATCTGTATGGCTGCTGAAATAATTTCTGTGCAGATCCTGCCGCTCCTTGTCTGGCTTTTGTGCTCTAGATGTGACTGAGCATTATGTTCCAAACACATTTTAAGTAGAGATGCAGTGCAGTGTTAGATAATTTTATGTTTTAATTACTTCTGTTAAAGAATGCAAAATGGCCTAATTTTGAATTAGAGTTGCAAGCTTTAGGACAAGTCAAAGAATACTGTGTGCTGTCTGGAATACATTGTACATTCCTTGGGGCAGGAACTGTGTTTCCATCTGCCTGATGTGTTTCACGTGCTCATATTTCTGTTCAAACAGAAAATCTGTGCAGAGGGAAGGCTGTTTCTTTTAGTTCAGGAGAGTGATATAAATGTCAGCAAATTCTGTCCCTTGCCTGTACATTTGAATGGTGAGGGAGTGAATTAGCCAACATACATAATCCAAGCAGGCATTTCTAGTCTATGCTTGAATTTGTTTGTAGTGCACAGTGTGGGTTTGGCAGCTGGGTCATGCAGTCAGAGCATGCAGCTCATCCCCTCAGCATCATGGCATGTTGGATAATGTGAGCTCATGAAGTACTTACATATGAAATCTGTTTGGGCTACTTGCAGCGGTGAGGATGTAGCAGTCCAGATGTGGAAAATCAAGGCATTTCTTAGCATACACCCTAAGTGAATTAAAATAGACCTTGAAAGAGGTGATACAGAAAGAAACAATGATTTATAAGCTGGGGTTTCAAGCTGGACTGGTTTTGATCCCCAACTGCCAGTTAACTGTGATGGAAGCAAATTGTGTTTGTTTACTAATGGTTGCTGTTGCCTTAAAGCTGTAGGATAAAGGCACTGTGGGCTAAGGTACACCAGCAGCTGCAACAACCTTCATGCATGTGGGATTTTGCACCTCACTGCTGGTACTCTTGACAGAGGTTTCTGTTGTCATCCTGATCATTGCTGAACTGAGTCTCTGATTGTTGTGAATATGCTTGGACCGATCAGCTTCACGTATAATTAGCAGTCTTCCCATACCTAAACTGGAAGTCTTGCAGAAAGTCAAGGCTCATTTTTATAGTCTTAAAAAATGACAAAAGTACACTCTCAGGTCATGCTATCTATCTTTGGACTATGTGGAAGTTACTTTGATGCTTCCAAGAATTTTTGCTTTTTGGCTTGAGAAGTTAACTTGCTTATGCCACGCTTCTATCTCTGACTCTGTAAGCCCAAACAGTCCCGGTAACTAAGTAACAGCACAGCTGAATGTTTTCATAAAAACAATGTTGCTGCTTAGAGATGTGATTTACTACTTAAGTGTGTCTGTACATATATACAGAGGCAAAAAGTGATGATGACCTCATCTTCAACAAGTCTCAGTTTTTTAGTCCCCAAGCCAAAGGCAAACTTGCTGTGAGCAGACACAACTCCAGTGATTTCAGTTGCAGTATCACCATTAATGTCAGTGCTCACTTAATTGCTGACAGAAGCCTGTTTGTAGTGATCAGTGCTTGAAATGTAAACCCAAAAGAAAAAATGGATAATTTTGCATCTTTCCTGGTATCTTCACATTGAAAAAAGGAGATACTAGTTAACATGTTAACTAGTTAACATGATTTTGTAAGTAAATCTGACTTTTTTTTAGAATTCAATTTTGATATTGTCTTGTTACTCTTAAATGAATTTACCAGTGCTCAGAACATGTCTTTTGCATAGAATCAATCAGCTGTAAGTGATGACATATTGCAATTATTAAAAATACAAAACAGACCTGCATATCTTCTAGCCTATTAAAAAAAAAAGTATCTTCCAGTTCCTCTATTTGGCAAAAGTTTCTCAGAATTTATAAGTAATGTTCCTCTGTTCTGTTCAAGCAAGATTCCAGGTCACAAATAGATTATTCTGATAAATTCTAGTAGTTTTTAGATGCTGCATATAGGCCTCATTTAATCTGTATTCATGATATTTAAAATTTCCAAATCTTACACTTGAATGCTTGTACCAAAAAAGTTATTAATCTTTACCAGAAGGAAAACTTTCTATTTGTGTAATATTTATTGATGCTAAACCCACATTATATCAGCACAACAGTCCAAAGTAATGATAATACATTTTTATAAATACAAATAAAAAGTGGCAAAATAATGCTAGTGAAGCTAAACAAAAAAGTAAATTAGCATGTCACAGTTGAGGAAAATTTGGCAAAAGATATGACATACTCTAGAATAAAATCAGATTATTCCCACCTGACAGACTGACATTAATCTGGATTAACCATCCCCATTACTAGTCATATCCTGCACCAGAATAGTACTACCTTGTGTGCTAAAGTTTATTAGTCACTAAAAAACAAAACAAACTTTGTGTACTTACAAAGCAATACATGTATAGCAGTAATGCAATATATGGTGTACACAATTACAAAATAAAAAAAAAAAACAACAAACCCCTAAGTACAGGACTTCTGAATAAATGAACTGAGATAAAAGATTTCAACACTTTTATTATAAATAATGAAAGATACCATATATGTGCTTCATATAAGGAATACAGTGTTTTCCTTTCCTAGCAAAGGATCGTAGCTCGTACCATCAAACACTCATTTTCCTTGTCAGGCCTAGTAATTTTTCCATCCATTCTCCTTCCCTCCCATTCAACTGAAATTCATTTGCTTCTAATTTAAAACTACCCAGTCAGGTGTGACTTAATTGGGGCTCCACTTCCTGATGGATTTGCCTTGCATTCTGTAAGTAGCCTTCAGGCTTTTCACCTATGGTGCACGGACTCTACCCCTCAAAAGAGTTGACATTTGCCTGCAGTCAAGAGAAGGAAAAAATAAAATCTACCAGAGACATGTTACACTAAGAAGAAAAAACAAAAAGCAAATTGGATTTTTTTTGCCTATCTTCATTTTCTACTTCCTCAAATTTGCAAACTATCACCTGTGGTGTATACTTGTCACTTAAATCTGTAGTGTAGTTTTAGTTTCAATCCATTTTTCACTTACTATACATTTCTAAAATCCTCATACATATTACACAAGCTTTAAACAGTCAAACATTCCATACATACACTCTCTAATTTTCAGCTCACTTTAGAATTTCAGAATCTTGAATGGGAGCATCACAAGGTTACACACTGCTGTCCGGAAATCCAGAGAGTTTCAACGTCTTGCCCAGTCCCTCCCACCCCTTGCAGTAACTCACTGCAGTGGTTTATACTATCAGCATTTTTTCCTATCTAGTTACCAATGTGTAATCTGGAGTAGATTGTTACTATGTCTCAACTCTTCTTTGCTGGCCTGCAGAAGTAAAATTACTTCTGCTTAGACTGCCATTGCTATGTGTTTTAAATAAGCCTCCTCCAAGATGGCAAAAAGGAAAAACACAAATGAGTTGAAAGTCAGGGTATTAATGTCCATACTAACAGCATTGAAAGAAAGATTGTTTTTTCATGGTTGAATAGAAAGCAGTTTGCAGAGATACAGCATTTGCTTACATTTCTTTTCCTTGTCCCTTCCTGTTTCATTCTTATAGTATTGCACTTGTTCGTAGCTGTCAGAATGTGTGTAGCCATTTTAGAACTGTTGATAACCCTTGAAGAAAACATCTTGCACCATTAAGACTGTGTAGCATCTACTTACTGCTTAAGAAGGTATGTAGTGAAAAATCTTTCTCTCTGATGCATTTTGGCCTCTATGAAAAGGGTTATGAAGCAACATAGGTTAAGGAACCGGTGAATGTGATTTGTTGTGCAATGTGTACATTTCTATTAATAATCTATCTATTCTTCTAATTTGGTATAATGAATAAGGAATATATGGTTACTGTGTTTGTTGTTTATCTTTTGTACATGAAGGTGTCTGCCCTTGCATAAAGTGACATAGGAGTATCATTGGTCAAGGCAATGGCTTTCAGTGTTTCTGCTTTGAAAGAAAAGGATGGAAGCGGCAGCTGAATCTACAGGTCATCGCTCTCTACCAGGCCAGGCTGCATTGTCAGGTGCACTGGGTTTGCTTCTGGCTGGAAAGCTGCTTTGATGTCCAGTCCTTGGTCACAGAGAGCAGCGTACCGGCTGGCTGAGGGCCGCACCTTCTTTGGCTTGGTCTGCTGAGCGGGCTGTTGCCACTGAGCTGAGATTGAAAAGGAAAGAACAAGTGTTAGCCTTCCTGAGCGCTGCACCCAAGTGTGCCAGAGGCTCAGTCAACCCTTTGTGAAGGAGAGAGTCATTTCTGAGAAGCAGAAAACCATTATATCAAAGGTAAATTTGTTTAATTTCTTCACATTGTTGTTTTTTGTTTTTTTTTTTTTCTCAGCATCTAGTTTCACCTTCTAATCTGGTAAGTAAATACAACGGTCTGAGTTACTTTTTGGCCTTGTTTTCTATTTCCTTGTGCCACTGAGAAGGGTGACAGCAAGGAGGTTGTTTCTGTGCACTCCTGTTAAAGAACAGGCCTGTTGTAGGGTGAGTTGTTGCATGTAAAATGAAATTTTCTGGTTGCCATTGCCACCCCTCCCTGTATACTGAAGAATGCTGAGCCAAATGTCTTATTCACAATTCCCACTTCCAGCACCACCCCAGAAACCATCCTTTATCAGTCCCTCCCCTTCCCCCTCCCAGTTAATTCTTGCTATGAGAAGACTGGTAAGAGATACTTCTTAAAGAAAATACAGGGCTGCTTTGGAACAAACTGAGTAATTAAGCAGAAAGCCATAAAAACATCTACTGCACTCCTGGTAGCTATCACAGGTGTATTACAGACTAATGTACAAAAGAATACAAAAGGTTAGGGAAGTGCCAGCAAAACAACAGTAATAATGATCCACAAAAATCATATGATCATGCCGTTATCTGTTGTTAATTAGCTATATTTAATGTATGAAGCAAAACCAGAAAGCATGCAAGCTTGTTTTGCTTTAGGTGTCTGAAAGATGGTGAAATATACTTTGACAGAGCATTTGTTGTCTTGAAGTAGATGTTTACTATTGAGGAGAAACTATAAACAAAAGAAAGAGAGACCAATGTAATCCATTCTGTGAACAACCCAAAACTTATAGAACTGTTGCTTTTGGGGGGATTAATATGATAATGAAAATTGAAGCCACTTACTATAAACATCCAACCTGGCAGTGCAAGACACAATCCCAGCCTCATTCTTAGCTGAAACAGTGTACCAGCCAGCATCCTCCTTTGTAGCTCCCTGAATAAGCAGGCAAATGTAGCCGTAGTTATCCTGGTGCATGCTAATCAAAAGAGAAGTAGAGAATTACTATTTAAATCACAAACCAGTGTAAGCTGTTTTAAAATGGCATTATGAACTGACCCAGTCTTAGTTGCAGATTGATTACAGTCTAACTTTAATTAAAATTTTAATTAAAATAGAACTTCCTCTGAACTTAGCAACTGGAAAATAAAGCCTTGAGTATGCTTGACAATTTGGCAGTTTAATATCCTGTATTGAAAACTAAGAAGAAAAAACACATGGAGTAACTTTTCTTTCACGATTATGGATTAAGACATCTGGAGTAGCAGGAACACAAGATCTTACCCAGACTTTTGTGGAAAGGATAAAGAAACTTAAGGAAGATCTTAAATGTAAAATACTTAAGGAAGATCTTAAATGTAAAATACTGAATCTTAGTTGCTTAACTGTATAGCAGAATTATGAATTAGAGTTTCTGCTGATAAGCACAGAGTGTTCTGTTGGAACCTTGATTTTCACTAGCAAATTTCTGTAGTTTTGATTCAGGAAGAGAAAAACTAGTTCGTCTTTTGCTTAGAGTGCAAAGGTAGTTGTATAAATCTAATGATGGAAAACAAGTAAAGTTTTATTTCTGGTTCAGGCAGCAGGCTGGCTGCAAGTTTGAGTAAATATCATAAATTATTACAATCACTAGTTAATATTAATGAGATGCCCTTTACACAAAGTGTTCATGTGACCTCTTAGGTTTTTATTTGTTTTACAGCATAAATCATCATTGAAGTTACACATGGGGAGGTTATTCTAAGCCAGTCTCACCTCACTCGGTCAGTGTTGTATGTGAGTGACTCGTTCTCTTTCTTCCAAAATATCTGAGGAGATGGCTCCCCTGAGATTCGACACTCCAGTCGCACTGGGAATCCCTCAGTCACACCTGTGTTTTGAAGCTTCTCTATAAATACAGGTGCTTTTTGTACTTCCTTAGCTGTGAAAATAAAGATTGCACTTATGTTGACACTTGTCTATGAAAACATAGCCTTTCTTTCAGCAGTGTGCCAAAAACAATTATGAAAGACCTAAGTGGCAGGAAACTTAAGTGTTGTCTTCATTAACCATGAAGTTCAGTCCTGCTTCCTCTGAAGAGGACAGTCCCATCATTATTTTAACAGGGGGAAAAAGTGAGTGATAAAAAGCTGATTCTGTCTTAAAATAATTGAAATGTAGAGCATGACAACTAGATAAACTGGCTGCACTATGCTTGGTAAAAAGTGCTCCCCATATTCCACAAAAGCACAGACTTTTAACTGAAGAAGGAACTGCTGTACCAGAAGTCTGCAGTGGCATTAGTCTGATGTGCTGTGAAATGCACGAGGCATTCCCACTGGCTGCCCAGGGGTAGACGTGGGCGTGCAGAGATTGTTATTACAAAGAAACATCCAGGGAAATAGTCTGGTTGTGGCCTCAAGGCCAGCAGCCCCCTTTTCTTAACTGTGTGCAAAGGCATTATATGCCAGACAACTTATGCCACTATGTAACATGAATAGCTCACCTATAAATATCCCATACTTCTGTTACTGCCAGGTTTCCTTTTTTCCTTTTCTTCCCTTTCCTCCACCCCTCAACGTGTCATTTGACATCATCCATGTTTTCTTTTTTCACGCTATCCTGGCAGTGCTCAGTCTGCAAGCTTAGCATGAAGATGTTACCTGCAACAGTGAGCTCCAGGCTGAATGAATTCTCACCAGCTCGGTTGCTGGCAATGCAGGTGTAGATTCCAGCATCTCTGGCTGTGACCGGCTCTATGATCAAGGAGTGCACCCCGTTCTCACGCACCAGCATCTTGTGATTGCTGTCAGGGCGAATTGGTCTGCCATTGAGCTGCCAGCTTAGGTCTGGAGTTGGTAATCCACTAACCTTGAGTGTAAAGACAACAGTGGGAAATTGTTTTAGCCACATGAAACGCTGGAGGAGTCCTGACTTGTTTCTTCAAGGAAGTTTGGTTTGGTTTGCTACTGCAAGTATACCAAAAGATTTCAAGATCTAATTCTGTCCTGATTTACACATTGAGTCAGTTGTAGTCATTTCTGGCCAACTCCCTAAATTCCATGATGTCTTATGGGCGCGACTGAAAAAAGATCAGTGTGTAGATAGGCTAGAAGCTAAATAATAATACATTGCAAAACAAAAGGCAGGGTGACACCTTTTGTCTTTTTTATTGTTTGCTCTTCAGGTGGAATGAGAAGATACTCCTTTCCAGATTAACTTCTTGTTGGAAAGCTCCAGACAAAAAGATGTTAGCTGACTAACTACTGACCTCTGAAGCTGCATTCCACTGAGGTGTGCCCTAGTGACAGCACCACCTGCACTAGTTAATGCTGGGTCTGTGTGGACAAGTCTTGCACTCTTGAAAGCTGTGCCACTTGCTGTGGGGACTGCTTCAGAGCAAACAGCTTCTCCCAAATAGGTCAGCATAAAGTAAACAGGAGTCACCCAAGCCTGAATTATTTCTGCTCAGCAGAGTCATAAATCAGGTTTATACTGTTTGAAACTTTTAACAGGGTTCAAAACTCAAGTAGTAAAAAGACTTAAAATGTAGAAACACATTGTCTTTATAGTGTGTGCTGCTTCCCTCCACACCCCTGTGTAGCTGAATTCTGTAAATCAGTTTACTGTGAGCTCTAAGATTTGCCTGAAACACTTTCATTGGACGGGAGGGAAACTTTTACTGTCCACTTACTCACTCATAAGCAATGAGATTAATTACCCTGCTAACAGGAGCCGAAACTGCCAATAGGCAAAATTGCCTTGAAAAGAAACCAATGTGG